GCTGTGGGTGTCCCTGCTCAGTGCAGGAGGTGGGACCAGACGGCCTTTAGGGGTCCCTTCCAACTCCAACCTATGATTCTGTGACAGAGTCAGACAGCTCCTGCCACCCCACTGCTGGAGTCAGGGAGCTCAGTGCCCAGCCCATGGGATCCTTCCTTTGGGTCTGAAGCTCAAATGGATCTGAAGATCAGTCCCAGCTTTCCAGATTCTCCCTGCTTCATAAGGTATGCTGGGAAGGACCAAAGGATGCTCCTAAAACCACATTACCTGTGTCATGCCCCATGCCCAGGAGCTCTGGGACAGACAAGGGAGGCTGGGCTCACCCAATCCCATTTTGGAACAGCCCAGACTTGCCACAGATAATAACAGCAAATAGATAAACTTCACATACACAAAGAGATTGGACACTGCTGCATCCACCACATTACCACCACAGCTTCATTGGCACATGTTCCACCAAGATGCAACAAAACCTTTGGCAGAAACACCGTTGAAGGCAAGGCAGAGAAATCCTCATCTGGAAACATGGACAAAATACCCAGGGTTCAGCCTGCTTCCCACTGAGCTCCAGAACAGCAGTCAGCAGGCCTAAGCACAGCCCCCTCAGCACTGTTTGCATCTCCAGACACGGCTCCTTGCCAACCTCCATCCCACCAACCATCAGCACGGCTCATCCCGGGTTGCAGCCCAACATCTGCTTTCCATGTTCCCGGGCAGTGCTCCAAGTAACGTATGCATCTTGTGTGTCTGCATGCAGCACGAGCCTCAGGCACTGCTCAGCACCACGTGCAGGAGCAGAGCAGAGCTTTCAAGCAATATGCCTCATCCTCTGGGAAAAAGCTGGGCTACAAAATCCAGGCTGAACATGGAGCAGCTGTGGTTCCTGCCCAGAGAACGGGGCTGGGAAACAGCTCAGCATCACCCAGTGCACGTAGCAGGGCTGCAGACTCCTTCAGCAATGCACAGCACTCAGCTTCAATCATGGAGGAGGTTTGAGCTCTCACACACATAGCACCAAAGCCCCGGCAGCACTCACCTGCACGTGAGTTCCTGAAGGTGTTGATAGAAGACGTCTCCATCAGCATCAAGTGGTCAGAAGTGTTCTGCTCCAGAGGCTCCAGGATTTCCTTCAAAATAACACCCGTCACTGAGCACATGGTGAATCTGGGAACAAAACATCCTCAAAAGGCTGCAGGGCTGAAACCTTTTCTCTCATTCTCTCTGAGGAGCAGGCAGGCCAGCAGCTTGCTGTGCTGCCAACAAACATGGGGTTTCTATAGAGATGTCACACTGCAGCCTCACATTGCCCTGAGCACTGAGCCCAAGTATGCATCGATGGCAAAGGGTTTGAACCTGCTCCCATGCATTGGATACAGCACAGAGCTCACCATCCTTTAGCAGCAGTGGTCAGGCTGGATTGCCTTTGCTCAAGCTAAGCCGAGCTTGTTCACCCTGTGCTGGGCACACACAGCCTGGCACAGCCCCAGAGATCCCATGGCACAAGGTGGTTTCCCCCCATTGAGCTCTCTGCAGTCTCAAATACATGATTTTGCTTTGCCATAACAGCAAGCACGTAGAGCACAGGACAGCTTTGCAGCCCTCCAACCTTGGCAGCAGCCCCGGGGCCATCAGCACCGCCCCAGCCACCACTGGCAACACCCTACACTGATGCTCAGTGGCATCCTCTGCCCCCACCCCCCTCCTGGCTGATACTGAGACCCTTCTCCTCCTCGTCCCAGAGAAGCACAGTAGAGGACACAGCACCCTTATTCCCATTCTCCCACCATTGACCCCACAACCTTTCCCCGTGGCCCTGCCCTCACCAGTTCCTGGGCACAGTGGCACAGGGATCAGGCAGGCGCCGGCTGCAACTCCATTGTTTGCACACAATTGTTAGCACCTGGGCAGGGAATTTCTAATCCACACACATACATTTTAGGCAACGTGTGAGACACGTGGTTCCATGGCAAATTCTACATCTGCACCTTGCACTGAAGAGCCCCCACAGTATTTTGCAATAGCAGCAGTAGGAGCAGGCTGACCTCATGGATATTTTCTGCACTGAGCTTTTGGGAGCTTGTGGTTCCTCCCAGCACTCCCACTTTGTTGCTTGCAACAAATCCCTGGCAAGGAAGGGATGGATGGGAGCAGTGCTGTTTGCAGCAAGCTTTGTGCTGGCACCTGCAGCAGGTGGGAGAGCCGCCCCATGGGGACCTGCTGCACTGCTCACTGCCCCATTGCTCATAGGGAAGGGATTCAGCCACCCACAGCTTCTCTGCATTGAGTAATGCATTTGGCAAGGGGCAGGCAAGTTTGGGAAGTGTGTCATTGTTCATCCCGTGCCCTGAGAGCCTGTGGAGGGGGATAACAAAGCCCCACTCCATGCACCCATCCTCCCCCCCCCTTCTGCCACTCCATGCACCTTCTGCCCCCATCCTGCTCCCACATTCCCTGAACTGGCCCCTTCCCTGCCACCCTCACCAGGGTCACCTGCAGGAAGGGACCTGTGCCCCCAGCATAATGCCCCTCAGCGTCCAAGGATGAAGGCTGGGAGCAGGGTAAGAGAGACGGCGTGGTTTGATGCTCTGATTTAGTGCGGTCATGTCAGGACTGAGGGCTGCAAGTTGCTGCTCACAGACAATGAAGGGGAACACTTGTAGTGGAGACTGAGGGTGGGAGGGGTGGGAACAGGAAGGCACTGAGAGGGATGCAGAAAAGTGAGGGTGTTCCAAGGCAATGGGGAGGTTAGCCAAGGCCAACAGTTCCACCCAAACAGCCCTGGGAGCAGGGATCAGGGCTGGTCGTCTGGACCCTCTCATGGGATGGGCAGTGCTTTGCACAAGAAAGTAGAGCATCCTCATCCCTGTCCCCATCCCAAGCCCCATCCTCATCCTCTTCTCTATCCCCATTTGTGTCTGCATCCCCATCTCGTCTCCATCACTGGGTGTGTTCTGCCCCCCACCCATTTCCTGGCCAGCACAGGAAAGGAGGGCGCTGTGCAGCCTCTCTGACTGCCGCTCGCTGTTTTCCCATTACATCGTAAATAAGGAGGATTTCAGAGCACACGCGGTGAGGGCAGAGCCCTCCCAGTGCAGCCATAAGTTTCGGCGCTGAGGTCACTTCTGGTGTCCCAGCCCAGCAGCCCCAGCCCTGCTCGGGGCAGAAGTGGCTGGATGTGTGATGTATTCACGGCCCTGACTGCTTGCAGATAGAGGTGTTTTGGTCAGGGAGAGCTGCAGCACGTGGGATGTGGGCACACCGCCAGCAGCACCACGCTATGGTAAGAGATGGGAGATGGGTGCTGCGTGCCCAGGTTTGGCTGCAAGTGATGCCTGAGCACCTGCAGCACAGTGCACATGGGTAAGGAGCCCTCAGAGGGAACATCTGGGGTTATGGACCCTCCCTCTCCCCAGTGACAGCTCAAGATTTTTATTTTGGGGAGAAGAAAGCATGATGCGGGGCTCGGTGCCCTGACTTGGAGGGTTTGGGAAGCTGGGGGCTGCCAGTTCCCATTTGGCAGCACTTCTGCTGACACACTTACAGGACAGCATATGGGATGAATTAACAAAGCGCAGCAGCACCATGACAGATTTGTATCCATGCTCTCACAAATCCCCCCCCCGAGCCCCCAAATCACCAACGTTTATTGCAACACTTGCACTGTCCCTCCTGCACCGTGCCTTGCAGACGCACAGCGCTTTCACCCAGGATCCCAGAACCCCTCACTCGTGCTCCTTCTCTTTTGCCCCTTTCCTGCAGGAACATGACCGACCCAGCACTGTGTGTTGGCCACACAGCAGGATTGTTACACCACACTGACAGCACACGGCTCGCAGCCGCCCCGCACACAGGCATGGCCAGCAGTTGGCTCTGAATCCCGAATGACACAGGAAAAACGGAATGTCTCACCCCGACCCGGGCAGGGCTGTGCAGATGGCTTCAAGACCCGAAGGAGTTCCAAGACATGGGATAATTCCCATGCACATCAGCTCGGCTGCTTCCTCTTGTGCAAGGAGGAGATGTTTGCAGCTGGAAGTCAGAGGTCCACGCTCCAACCGTGAGCTGAGCGGGGACTCAGCCTGTGGGGAAAGCAATGCCAGAGACTGCATGCATGGGACAGCAAATCCTGCACACAGATTGCTTTGCAGTGCAATTGCAAATCCATGACAGCTGTGCAGAGCATGGCCCCAAAGCTCCTCACCTGGCTGTGCTCAGCACCAAGCAGGTGTCACTGTAAGCAGAAAACCACCTGGTCAGGATTGCAGTAAGCTCTGCCCTGGCTCAAAAGGCTTCCAAAGGTGGCGGCTCAGCATGCTGAGCTCATCCCCTGCAGCTGGATGCTGTGGTTCCCCGAGGAGTGCTGACAGCCCCAAGCCCAGCCCTGCTTCTGGCTGCAACACACAGAGCAGAAGTAACTGTGCTGACCTGGTGAGTATGGGGGTGGATGGCTGTGCTGGATGCACACACCCTGCGCCCAGGTCACATCTGTGCTGCGATGTGGGGCTTGGTGACCCCAGGAGATGCATAATCCACCTTGAAGTCCTCAGCATCCAGCACAGTCACAGCCTGTTCCCAGCCAGAGCCGCTGCTCACGGCGCAGAGGACCCCCTCAGATTGCACCCTCCAGTACTCAACATCACACTGCCCCACATAAGCTGTTCAACCCAGAGCACCACCACGACACTGGGCTCCTCCCCGGAGCTTCAGCTGGCAAACAGCCACACCAGAAACTTTCATTTCCCTAGGAACATGCTTTTACCCAACCAGATTTGCATGGGTCAAGGTGGAGCTGCAGCCAAACTGCCTGCCCCATTCCTGGATCAGCCCTGTCCCTGCATGCTCCCATCATTCATTCCCTGCCTGGGCTTTTCTGCAGAAATATCTGGAGGGTGACTATTCCTTACCAGTGCCCATGTTCATTTGCCAACTTGGATGCAGAGGCAAAATCCTCCATTGGTAGTTTGGACTCTCATTTTCAATTGTCTTTTCCGTGTCAGTACATTCATTTTGAGAGCGTACTTAACATGAAATGATTAATCAAGGAGGGGCTGACCATGAGCACACAAACATGGCTTAGCAGCAGCACGGACCTGATTGGGGTGGGTGAGATTTATGCTTTAGATGCTTTGAATTTCCAGAGCTCAATAGCACGGCGTGCTTGGCTGCTTTGCAGGGAAGGAGGGCAGGGCTGAGCCACTTCTGGAGGAGCACTTCTGCAAGTGGGTGATTCCAGCAGCCCCTCCTGAAAACTTTCTCTGCTCCTTTATTTTTTCTCTTCAAAGCCAAGCGTGAGAGCTCCCTCTGCTGCCGTAAGGGCTCAGATCAAGTGAACGCACTGTGTGAGACTGAACGGGCTCCAAAGCAGGGTGCTGCTCCTGATGTCCGCTAGAGCTGTCCTTAAACACAAGACCCAAGGGTTTTACCCAGGGAATCATTGGGCTGGTGCTAATTAAAAGGTGGTTTAACGATATCGCTGGGCTGCCCGGTCCTCCAGCATTCTGTACCTCACTGCAAACAGAGAAAACACACCAGGATGGTCCAGGATCCATGCTTTCCTCCTACTGTGCTGATACTCTGGCAGTAGCTGGGAGCTGTGGAATTCTGCTATCCCACTTACGGCAACCCAGCATGGCTGGCAGTGCTCAGTGGCAAAGGCACCACGTCCCACGTGCAATGCCAGCACCCCCCAGGGCTTCTTCAAACTGGAATACTTGCAGCTCGGGGACAGATGATAAGCATGGGGGTTCCATAGGTGAAGAGGAGCTGCAGATGAAGTCACACAGCTCTGCGCAGGAAACGGTGAGTAACAGCCTCACAGCTCGAGCTGCTGAGGGTCTGAAAACACAACAGCAGACAGGAGCAAAGAGAACGTCCTGTGGCAGAAGGGCTGTGACTCATTTACTCCAGAGGTTACTATGGAGCTGTTTACACATTTCTTTGTGATTACAAAAAAATAAAATATCTAAAGACTCACCCAAAATGAACTACGTAGAAAGAGGTGTGAGCAAGAGGAGAACACAAATAGCAATAACTCACAGGACCAGGCAGGCTTCCTGGAGGAGCACAAGGGGTTCAGGTATGAGCCCACTGAGCCACAGAGCCCTGGGCAAACGCTGCCTGTCCTGCTGCAGCCAGGTGGGAGGCAGCAAGGGCAATCCGAGCTGGGTTTGCATTTTTAGAAAGGCTCTGGGAGGAATATGAGGAATAACCAACCAGGAAATCAAACTCCTTCACTGAGCAAATTGCTCAGACTCCTGAAAAGCAGAATTCAGAGAGAGAAAAGGCAGCTGGAGAGCATTCTTGGGGCTTTTCCCAAGGGAAGTCCCACCTGGAAAATTATGGATTTTGTGGAATATATAGCAAGCAGCTGGGGAACGAGGTGATCTGGCATTTATAGCCATTAATTGGAGCTTATAAATTAACAGCATGTGGCAGAATCCAAAACAAGGGATAGGATTAAAGTGAGAGGTTTTGTACCAGGAGAAGGGATTTCTTGGGAACACCTCATTTCTTTACAATTTCCATTCACAGGGAGTGATGCCAGGAACTTCTGGGACAAGTTCGTCACTATTAAACACTAAGATGCAGACACAGCCTTTGAGATCTTGTCCCACCAACTGCCAGACTTAAAGGGAGGTAAGCATCAGCATCATTGAGCATAGCCAGAACCTGATCAGCTGCTGCCCAGGGCAATTCTGGGTGTGAGGGTACGGAGGAACTGGAATCACATCCAAGCGACAGTTTGCTTCCAGCACACAAAGGCAGACAACAAAGGGCCTGCGTCCTCTCTGTGTATAAAAACACTGTTATCAGGAGACCAGAAATAGCATTTCCTTGCTCTCTATCCTTTGTCTGTCTTATCAGGGCAGCAGGAGGCTCTCAACTTGCTGCAGGCTGGTGGGGTGGGAGGGCTGCGTGCAGGAAGGTGGGACGCCAGCTCACAAACGTTCTGCTTGCACAGAACGGCAGGAGGGAAGCGAGAAATTCCTTCCTGCCAGGAGGCCTGGAAGCAGTGCTGGGCCCTGGCCAGCATCCACTCTTCTCACCCGCGTCCCTGCTCCCTTTGGTCTCCCCAAAGGTCACTCTCAATTACTCACTGCAGCTTTTTGTTTAGGAAATAGCAGTGGGGATGTCCTGTCCCGTGTGAGCAGCTCTGACCACAGCCTCTGCCAAGCTGCTACAATAGACATCTCCCTGCAGCCCCCTGGGCCCGGCAGGTCTCCAAGAGAACAGTGCAGGAAAAGACAGACAGACTCCAAGCGCCCACTCAGCGCAGTTTCCTCCCACATCACATCCTTTCCACCCTTCCATTGCAGCCCTGGGGCAGGTAGGGTGGCACACGGAACAGGGGACACACCAGGTAGGGCAGAACTGCCAGTACAGCTTCTGTGTTTTGAGGATACATTCATCACATTGTGTTAAAGCACTGGGCCACAAAAAGCACAGAAATGCAGCCACCGTTGTAGGGAGGCTACATGCCAAGGACACAGAGTGGCCCTGAGTCCTGAATGAAGAGTACTGGACTCCAAGCCCACCTAACAGCTGCACTTGCAGCAGCACATGTGTCTATTTCAGAGCAGAGAGCATTTTTTTTTTCCACTATGATTGTTCTTGGATTCTTTTTGCTTCTGTAAGCCCTGAAAGCTCAGCCACCACCCAGGCAGGGAGGTGTTTGTTAGGAGGGGCCGGCGTGACACAGCTAATGCTCAAGAACTCAGCTGAGCGTGGATCCCCGAGGCCTGTCTGAAAAAGCACATTCCGAGAATTTCCCTCTTCCGCTTCTACTCCCTCTTCCTCTTCCCCAGGAAACTCTGGCAGAAAGCAAACAAATAATCAGAGGAATATCACACCCAACTGGAGAAGCGATAAGAAATTTGGTTCCGATCCACACCACAGAGAAATGTGATAAAACGCTGCCCTCTCAGAAGCCAGAAACTGATTGTTTGCCAAGAGACTAAAAATAAGCCACAGAGGGCTGCACTTAAAGGCATGCACTAATAAATGCCTCTGTCCTTGATTAATCACGCTCCAATTTCCAGAAAAGCACTCTCTATTTTCCAGGAACAGTTTGTTGGGAGCTTTGGCAACATCGGAATAAACATGAAGGCTAAAACATGTAACATATCTCAGAACAGCTTCCTGGCAGCTGCAGGTTTGCTGGAGGCAGTGCAATCCCTGGGACAGCAAGGGCAAACAGGGACTTGTTCAGCCGGAGCAGGAAGGATCTCCTTTCTCCATGCCACAGGGGCCACAGGCTGCACTGGTGCGTCCCCCCGTGGCTGCAGCAGCACCTTGGCTTCACGGTTCACTTCATCTGTTTCATCTCCATCAGTCAGAACGAAATCACCTCTTCCAGGCCAATGGGGAATAGAAGTGCCAGCTGTGTGGTGGCACTGGCGCACACTGCCACCTGCAGAACACACCCCAGAGCTGGGGACCTTTGGAGAGCACTCAGGGTGTCAGCACACCAGCTGAGTCTCACAGATTGACCTGGCTGTGTGTGACAGCAATCCCAGCACACTTGTGAAGGTGTTTACACAGGCCAAGCTTTCCAGGACTCTTGGGGTGAAAGCAACCGTGACAGAGCTCCTCATTAGCACGTGTTTAACTCAACACGTAACCCACCATAAGAACACTGGATATAAACAGAGCTCAGCCATGAGTCATAGAAGGGACACCCGGTCTGGTTTAAACAAAGCATTATTTTAATCTCAAGATTTTATAAATATATATTTACAAAAGAAAGGTATCGATCCAAAGAGTTAAACAAATGTACAGCTCCCAAGTATTGCTACGGTCCAGGGAGACATACAATGTTAATGCAATCCCACAATTTACAATACCCATTATTCAAAAAGAAACCACATTCTCAATTTAAAATACCTCTTCAGAAGTTTACAATACCTCCCGCTGCGAAAGCACAACCTGCCTTGAGCAGCACTACGTGACAAGAAGGAGCTGAGCCCTTTCAGCTTTGCACACAGAACACACAATTTCTGCCACTGAGGTGAACACTGCAAGCCAACATTTCACCATCATACAAATGGGTTTTCTTTTCCCCAGCCCATAGATTCCTAGGGGAACACAGTGTGCTGCACGGATTCAAGACATGCAAATGTCTTGCAAAGTCAGCATGCTGATGCCAGGTCTTCAGGCAACTCCATTAAGATTATGTGAAATGCCTTTTGGTCATGGAACAGTAGAAAGCAGCCTGAACTCAGCCTCAGCTCTTATTTTAATGGTTACCCCCAAATCCGCTGCATAGGTGAATAACTGAGGGGAAGGAAGCTCTGCTTGTGTAACCTCCTGTCCTGGTACCCCAGCAGTGACGTTTCCTGCTGCCCTGTGCACCAGCTCACACCAGGTGGCATCATTTTAACAGCTCTGCCCATCACCTGCTCTCACACTCCCTCCACCTCTGAAACTGTGTACAGCTTTCCTTGCAACCTACTTTTAGTCCAGTTGTGCTCCTCGTACAGACACAGGCCTGCAGGAAAAACAGGGGTTCTCCATAAACTCAGATTTAATCAAAGTCCTGGTTAAATGTTACTCCAACCTCCAACAGCATTTAAGAAAAATAAGTCTGGAGCTGCTCAGCAGTCACTTGCTGCAGTTTCCACCTGACTTCAAAAATCCTCCTACAGCCAACAGCAACACTTCCTTTGGATTTCCTTCACTGCAACAACCTCAGTGCCATTCAAATCACAGAATGAGAGACGCAGAGCCAACAGAGAGCTATCTAAACTTCGTAACAGACCTCCAGGAACAAAACACAGCTAAGCCCACAACCGAAAACTACCTGAGGTACCAACTGCTGGAGGAGGTGGGGATGGTTCTTGGAGAACAGAAGGTCCTGTGTGAGCATGGCTTTTAGAAGGTTTCCTGGCATTTTTCTCTTAACGTATCCAGTGAGTATAAACCTGCATCAGAGCACTACCTAGGATGTCTTCTGATTCAAAGTTCAGGCAATATAATTCTAATTAATCAAATTAAGAAAGGACTTAAACACAAACTGCTAGTGGAAAACTGAATATTAACTGCTAGGAGTGTTAACTGGAAGTCTTGCACAATGTATTTACTTCTTTTAATTCACACCTCATTTAAGCAGCTCCAAAATCTCACGGTCAGACCAACATTCTCTGTGCTTCACTACTGTGAATCCAACCCAGCTTGAGGCTTCTACCGTGCTCAGGATGCTGTCTGGTCCTCTTTAGCCAC